AGTTGCTGTATGTGGGACGCGGCCTCAGGATGGACGGAGAAGTGGTGCCTCGATGCGCACCCGGGATCCGAACCCGGGCCACCAGCATTGCAGCGCACGCACTTAACCACCAAGCCACAGGGCCGACCCAAGAACAGTAAAATTTAAACTGGGAAAATTAGATTAAGAAACAATGGCCACAAAAGAAAACTCATAGTGGCACAAGCAATAATTGGTAAAATTAGGTATGAACAAAAAAAATTGATATATAAAATCTTCATTATAAAATTTAAATTGAAAAGAACTGATCCCATGGGAAGAAAATCAGTACAAGAAAAAATTTAATGTGAAAATGGGAAACAATTTTATGTTGGATTTTCTATCAGGAAATTAAACTGACATGACATTCACTCCATGAAATTCTTTCTTGACAAAAACATTTCTCGATAGTTATATAGTTCTGATCAAAATATTTTATCCATAAACATAGAGTCAAAATTTTTTAGGGTCAAAACAGCAAGATCAGAATGTCTAGTAGTTCAAAATGGCAGGGTCAGAACATCCTGGAGGCAGCTCAGGGCGTTCTGACCTGACTGCAATTCAGAAGGACCAAATATTTTATAAGCCTTGGAAGTACCTTCTCTATAATTTATATTTCACCTCAACAAGTTGGTACAGATATGGCGTGCTTCTAAAACTCTAACTTTCAGAAACTGCTCAGTTACAAGATGCCATGATTTGGTTGTACCAAATTGTTCAGGGTGCAGCATCATTGAAATGTTAAATTATAGACACTGTATTTAGGAGGCCTATAAAATTTCTTGTCATCACTGGATTTAAGAAGCTACAGTTAAGCCAGGATTCCCTGGGGAAGTCAGCAGAAGAGCTGGACCCAGCTCTGCCTATTTGCTATTCCTGGAACTGGTTTATGAAATTGAAGATGTGGGGTAAGTGCCAAATCCATGGTCAAAATTGTTAAGGCTTTAGTGTAGCAGGCACCAGTGACTTCTTCCTCAACTGCACTTTCCTTTTGACTAATCAGCTGGCCAAATAATGCATGCCCAAATCAAGAAAGTCAAAAAAGGAAGACTGGTGACCTCATGGTTC